GTGCATCAGGGATCCTATCTGTTTTAAAGTTCAATCATGACTTTCTGCGTTCTTCTTTACTTGTTTCCTGAAACTTCCTTAACTTCCTGAATTTTTATTTTTAACTATTGAATATAATTTAACTACCTTGATCTGACTGAAAACTTAAGGCCTGATATAAACACACAATCTACACAACGTTCACACACAGATATAGCCAAATGAGCAATCTGTGATCAGAAGTGTTTTCCTTAGCCTCTGTATCCCTCCTTATGGGACTGAAATACAGTATAGATAGGTGATTATATCAATAATATATGAGGTGGTTTAACAATTTTAAAGGAGCTCCTCTATTAATAGAAATTAAAGGACTCTAAGATTATATTATACACTTGACAGAAAAAGCCACCTAAAATGCTTGAAATAATTACATTAGACAGAACCTTTATGGTGTATTGATTCCCCTTTTAATAGAACACTAACAACTTCTAGGAATGGGATCATTTTGTTTCTCCTTAATATTAAACCAGTCAGCCTTTAGAAGCTTGATTGTTTTAGTGTCAGTATAAAGCACATACACAATATTTTTAAATGAAATTCGTAAACCTTGTTTGAACATTTGCAGCTTAGTGCTAAAGAATGACTTTAAGGTAGAGCAGGTTTTAATTGAGAACAGTGCCGTTTGCCTTTCTGTGATGGAAGCAGTTTGAATGAAATTGCTTCAAGAGCATTTTTCTGTTTGCTACACAGAAGCAGTGAAGGTTTATGTGCTGTCTGGGGCAACATACATCAGTGAATGCTAATACTAAGATAAGAAGCCCTGCATGTAAATTAAACAGATGATTAAAAGAGGTTCTCACTAGGAAAGTCTTTAAATTATCATAGGAGCTTTTGGTTCTTATGATCACTATTTTTTGTTAGATGACATTAAAAAAAACAGCTTAAAAGCAGCTCTATGAATCAATATAGAAGCATTCCATGTTAATTAATGATTAATGTGGGTTTTGTCCAATTTGAATCTTTAGTGGGTTTAAAACTAGGTTTTGGTGCCACTATGAGGACATATCAGGTACTGAATAAAGTGATGAAAGTCAGTGAGGAAATGATTGAAAATTGCTGCTTTCTTTATTTGAAATCATACAAACTATCCGCCTTGAGTATTTGTCTCTATGCTTTCTACACTCTTAATTTTATCACTAAATAGGGTCCCAGTAGCCTTCAGAAAATCTAAAAATGTAAAATGTGTGAGTGGTAGAAAATACAATGTTTTTTTTTTGGCAAGTTCAGGTTAGCAGGAGATTTCTTACACCCATGCTTGTTTCCAAACTCTCCACTTGAATGTCACCAGAGTTAAACTTTCTAATGAACAGCTAAGATAAACTGACCTCTGTGCCACATTATATTTACATCACATGGAAATAGAAAGTCATGCTAGCTAAATATTAATTACCTGACATCTAGTAAGCTGTATAAGTAAAAATAAAGGATTTTGTTATCTACTTGTTTAAGGTTATTAGAGGTAAAAGTCTGATTTTATTTTAACACTGAATAAATAAACTCAAAGTAAAGGTTTGGATTGAAAGATTTTAGATTTATATTATGGTACTGCATTGATATGTTTACTCCATTAAGACTTTTCACTAATCTTCACATGGAAGGCCAATAAGCGCAGAGTGCTAGGTATAAACTTCTTGTGACTTGATAATGTGCAATGTCAGCATAAAAAAATATTCAGCAAAACAGTTCTAATAAATTCACTCCATGTGTTTGTATGAGTCAACAGGTGAGTCTGCACGCTACAGGCTGAGAGAAGAATAACAAGACCCTTTTCCAGTAAATGGTCGCTTTGTGGTCAAGCTCCAACTTTGTGTGGTGGCTGACTAACTGAGATCAAAAACTTTCTCCATTACCCTCTACCACTTACAATTAACATTACATATGCATCTACTTCTCCCGTGCTTTACAACACTGAATCAGCTGTTTTGTAGGCTGGTCTAATTTTGCTAATCAGCTAAGAAAAATTTAGATGATTTGTTTTATATTCAAACTTTAAAAAAATAAAAAAAATAAAAAGACATTGTTCGAACTTTAAATGTTTTCTGTTGTGACATAATTACTAAAATCTTTGTTTTTCACTGAAATAGATTCATTTTCCAACTAAAATTTAACAGAGTTAGAGTAAACTTGACTGTGGTAAAGGTGGAATAACAAAAAATCTATTTTGTTCAGGACATTCATATTTATTCAACTAAGACAGTGAAACTCTAACATAATATGGAGAGTTCAAAAGGAAAATTACAGATTTAGTTTGGGAATGTGACAGCAGTAGGATGTAATCTGCATGGACAGAGGTGCAAATTTGTATAAGCCGCTGTTTGAGGTAATCAAGATAAAAGTCATCATATTACAAGATTTATGTCAACCTAAAAATTTTTTTGTTTCGTTAAAAAAAGAAACGGAATTAATAACCCTTGCAATAAAGAATCGGTACCAGAGTGAAAAAAAACACATCTGGGAAACTGAGGCAGACTTGCATTAGTAAAATGTTCCCATATGATATTAAAACCTTCCAAAAAAAATCCCACAAGAGTTTCTTTTGGCTTCACATTTGAATCAACTTCCCATTTCTTCATTAATAAGGCAATCACTCTTTCCTTTGCTTTTATTTCCCGCCCCTTTCCTGAGACTGAATGAATACAGAGGTAGTTTGAAACTTCACAACCCATCACTTATCACAGATTTCAGTCAATAAAGCCTGCATAGCCTGTATATCAACAGTCTGCAGCCCTTCTTCGTGCAGCGGTGTTTTGCTCAGAATTTCAAGTCTCTGTCATCACATTGTTACAACAAGACTGAGCGATGCACAGAGGAGCACCAGGCACCACCATGGGAATTTAATTGGTCTGAGCTGAAATTTCCAAAAAGTAATAAAAAACATGTTGACGCCAATAACTGTCAGGCTCATGATAATAAAGCATCTTTTGGAAAATTTAATTTAATTCTCTGCTTTCTGCAGTAACCAGCTATTCCTTTATCAGGTGGTTACAGGACATTTAAATAGTATTTACACATCTGGTAATTTTCCAGATTTTATTATCTTCTGACAAAAAATGTTAGTGCATTTTATTGGCCTTTCATGATGGATTAAGTCAAAGTAGTGCATAAGAATCAAGTCTAAGAAAAATTAATGTGAGGTAAGTGGATGTGTGGTTTCAGTCACAAAACCGCTTTTATCCAGTTTTATCTGAGAGAAATACAAAACCATGCGTCACTTTGCTTCCACTTCATATCCTGTTTTTTGTTTATTGTAATTTCCTGTTTGGAAAACCATAGAGGAATATTTTGAAAAAAACAAAACAAACAAAAAAACATACCTAGTACATTCCAAATGTCCTGATTACCTGAGATTAAGATGTAGAGGCAGTATTATGAGGAATCTCAAGATGTTCTCAGGTCAGACCACATATATGGTTTATCCAGTGACTTTTTTTTGTTCTCTGGGAACTCTTCTCTGTGGGACATGCCTAAAATCATCATGATATCAGTTTCAAATATTTTTGATGTAAAGACAAAGCTTCTCTATTCAAGACACTTCATGCTTACAGTAGCTGCCAACTGCTGCAGTACATGCTGAAGGTCACGGCCTGAAGAAGACAAAAGATCGAGAGATTTCCAAACCCAACAACCTCCTCTCCAGTACTATGTCTATGTGAAAAATAAAAAGAATCAGTGGCAAGGGGCAGAAGGTTATAACTATTGATTATTTTTGCTAATCAATTAAACTGGTGGCTATTTTTTCTTTGATTAGACAATTAATATTAATATGAAAAAAGGTTCTTATATTTTCATATTTTTTTACTTTATTTTAGGCGTACTGTATTTGAAATTAGCTGCATGGTGGTGAAGTTTGTGGCACTGATGACTTGCAGCAAGAAGGTTTTGGCCTCAATTTCTGGCCCAGTGTCATTCTGCATAGAGTTAGCATGTTCTGCCCATGCATGTGTGGGTTTTCTACAGGTAGGCCTACTCCGGCTTCCTCCCACAGTCCAAAAACATGATAGTTAGGTGAACTGGCTTCTCTAAAAATTGTCCTTAGGTGGGGATGTGTGTGTGCATGGTTTTATGTCTCTGTGTTTCTCTGTGTTTCCCTGTGACAGATTGGTGACCTGTCCAGGGTGTACTCCGCCCATAGTCTGCCAGAGATAGGCATTGGCCCCACCATGACCCTGACTAAATAAGCAGGAGAAGATGGATGGATGTATTTAAAACAGGTGAAGCTAAAACTATGTAATTCAAGGTGTCCTACACTGAGCATATTTACAAGCAAAGAAGTTTTTTTTTCTTATTTTAGATTCCAAATGTATATATTTTGTACAGTTTTGGCCTCATTACTACTCTGAGTGGGAGATTCTTTCAGTAAATGGCATAGTTTAGTCCTAAAAGCGCGCGCCTGCGAGTTCACGAGCCTACGGAAACTGCGGCAGACCAAACCAGATGAAAGTGCGCATTCAGCGTCTGCTCTTGATAATGCAAGCGTAGAAGAAGAAATTTGCTGTTTACCTGTACAAAGAAAGAAACAACGAAAGAAAAATGTCTGAGGACTTCAGTGTTGAGGAAGAGCATGAGTTCTTTGCCGAGCTGAATGCGGTTTATATGGAAATGTAACTAATCACGTTGTATTTACATTTCACAGATTTGTTTTGTTTCTTTTTCCCAATGGCTGATATTTGCTTGCAATTTAACCATTTAACAAGAAGACACTGGATTTTATAAAAAAACACTGTAGTATTTTTGTATTAAATAAAGTGCCACGAAATTCCTTAGGTCAAAGCTCTCCATCGAGGAGTGCTCTTTGGTGCAAAACTGATAAATAAAATAATAATTTAAAAAAATCTCTATTCATAAGTTTTTTGTTATTACTTTTCTGTCATCCAGGTTTTTCTTGGATTTGGGCAAACGGTGTAGCTAGTTACACATCCTGTCACCAATAGACGGTCTTTGTACTGGAGCGCGTCGTCAGTTCCGTTAAGCTTTCCCCCCTGGCTTCACAGTGAAAGGAGTAGGGATATTTACGCGGAGTCCTTCCATGCCAACGCCGCTCAGAGTTAAACATTACCTCGAAATGTTATTTAGATATCCTTAAGCAGGGGTTTCTCAAGGTCTCTTCCTCTTAGGAGTCAGAATAGACGCGACATAAAGCTCAGAGCCTTGCAGGAAGAGAGATGCATTGCAGCTAGCTTGCTATTAGCTTTGGCGTCAGCTTCGCGAGCAGCTGTATCAACGAAGGGACCAAGTACATCGTAAGTCAAACTCTAAAAATTGTATTTCAGTTATTTTCACAGTTTTTTTTCTCTTTTATATTTTACATATCTGTGTCTATTTTTGAGAGAATTATGGGTGTGTTTGTTTTGCAGCTTTGCATATACAGCATGCGAGGTGTTTAACTGAAGATTTGTATTATTCAAACCCAGATGCCCATAAATCTAATGTTATTTCGCGCGCATTTAATGAATAAATTAACATTTTCCACACAGGTTCACATTATATATTTGGGTGGATTTAGGTGCCTTGGTGAGACCTTTGCACCTGTCCTGATGCACCTGCCAGGTCTCAGTATTTCCTGCCACGTCCCAGAAGCTACATCCTAGTATGATGGGATTCCCTGACATATGTTTTAGAGGATTTTTCTCACAAAAAAATTCTTTAACTCGCATGGAAAGCTTTTCTTAATCTTTTTCTTTTTTTTGGTATAATTGCAAACAAATGTATTGTTAATGTAATGTTTACTACAGTTATTATCTGCTTAGGTTGATTTCTCCTTCTAAATCATTCTGTAAGACATTTAACTCAGACCATTTTTACTAACTAACCAACTAACCAGATTTAGATCAGTTATGGGTTTTAACATTTTCTATGTGTTTAATGTATGAAAGGATACTGCTGTGTAGCCTAGATGGTGTGTAAAGTCATCAGACACTGGGCATGGCCAAAAGAGTAAAAAAAAAAAAAAAAAGGGTCAGAGCCTAAACAAGCAGACTGCATAGCTTCACTTCTACACCTTCAGTGCTTTTTTAGTGAGTATTAAAACTTCCAGACACCTGATTGACCTGCAGCAACTCCATTGATTACATGTATTCATCTCAGACACAACATAAACTCAATTCACTTTTGAAATCATAATATTTTTTTGTTTTGTTATGATGCTTTTGCTGAATGTTATAAATAGAGTAGGGAAATGCATTGTCATATCGATAAACTCTTGTTGTTTATAAACAATAAGTGTGTCTTTAATTAGACACAATTATTGTGTACCTTGTAGCACAATTGTTTCAAATATTTGGTCATATCTACTTGCTTATCTTAAACTATGTATGTTTAATTTTAGATTAACTACAGTGGGTAAAAGAAGTATTCAAACTCGAGGAACATATGAAGTAAATATGTATTTCTAAATGTGAGGTTAATATAAAAGTCCTCATGTTACTGTTGTGATTCACTGTTAGGGACATTATAACATTGATCATTAGATTAGTTTTATCATGACCTCTGAAAAACTGGTTTCTTCTAAATTCAGTTCAATTCTCATAGTAATCCCTAAATATTGACTCATATAACTAATTTTTAAATGTATTTTCCGCCTTACTTACAGCTGCCTTTAACTATTACTTTATGAATTTTCTGTTGAATGTTAGTACAATACTTGTATCAATATGTTGGATAACTACATAGCCATGTTAACCGGTAACAAGTATATACCAGTTTTCCAATTTAAGATTAGACTGGGTTGGATCGAAAACAATTTATTCTAATTCTTGAAAATTGGAATCGAATTGTTTCTTGAATTTTATTTGATACCCAAACAGTGAACTCATTGTGACCTGGTACTGCATTAGTGTCGTTCTTTGATCTATTGGCAACAGATCAGACTCACCTATCACCAGTTAGGGCTGATCAAGCAGAAAGGAGCACAGTTCTAGCTTTGTAATAGTAAGGAAAAGGTGTAGCTCATCTCAGTTTTCAGAGAATCGGCTAATTCTTAGCAGGTTGTTCTAAGCATCTTCCTGTCTCCTTTTTTTTTTTATCAGAGTTTGTTATTGCTAGTAATAAGAGGGTGATTAGTCTGTGAAATAGAGTGGCCACTTCACCTCAGTAGCTCACCGCCTATTTGTCTATGTGCATATAAAGAAGGGGGGGGTTAATAGGTGTTGTTTTGTCCTGAGCAGTAGCCTTGCTCTTTCAAATCCTCCTCCGCTGTTGTCTGCAGTGAATGTAATCCCATCCACTTTATTGATTTGTGTGTTTTAACTAAGTTCTGCGGTCCAGGCTGTGGTCAGGCCTTTGCATCATTTACCCAGCCTTTTCTCTCTTTTTTTTTTTTTTCTTGCAGACATAAGTCACTATGACAGACAATGTTATGAGTAAAGCAGCCACAATGGAGATTCCCATTAACAGTAATGGCGGCACAGGGGCTTTAGCAGAGGACGACAGCCTTGAACAGGTGGGTCACGGTTAGCTGACAATGTTCATGTAAGATTTTGTAAAGACTTTGCGGTGCCGACAAACCAGAATGATTAACCTTTTACCCCAAATACAGCAAACAGAGTAAATAGAATTATCCTCTATTTTTAGATAAAATACACAAAGAAAACCAGCATTTCAGAATTTAAGTATGCAGTTTCAACAGGACTTAGGTGTTTGGTCTTATTTTTATTAATTCAATAAAGTTTACGTATTTAGCGCCACTTCACAACACATGTCATCTCAAGGCACTTTACAGAGACAATACAGTTAGACTGGATACAAGTTTCAGTTATATTTTATCGCCTAATGTACTTTATTTTATTGGGTATGAATTAATAGAGCTTATGAAAATGATTTGATGCTTTGCAGTGGTTCTTAGTCGTCTGAGTTCATTATTCTCTGATGTATATGCTGCGCAAATACTGAAAATATGCTGAAAATATGCTTTCATCTTGATAGTCTGTGTTTATATTATGTGACTTGTTTGGAGTTTTGTAGCGGTTTGCTAAGATACTCCACAAACTTCAAGTTTATGCCCGATCTTCATGTTATTAGAGGGTTTTTGCAGTTTGAGTCCCACCTTTTATATACATTACATTTCCCCATATGCTTCACGTTTACAATTAGAAATTGAGGCAAAAGTTTGATGTATCAAAGTTGACATTATCATGCTTATAGCTTGCAAAAAAGGTTTTACCATCACACAATTGTCTAATATTATGCACTACTACATCACAATGCATTGGAAGTGGAAACACACTTTTTTTTCTTTATTTAAAGAGAACAGTACAGAACTTTTTACAAAGGGGGCTGGACTGATTATGTAGTTGCTTTTCACAGCATCGAGTTCAGAGAAGGACATTTGTCACTGGAGATGCATTCTCTTAAGAAAGAATGAGGGATAGAAAAAAATACATGGTGTATAGAGAGTGCCTCCCACCTCTTTGTATATGAATATCAATATAGTAAGACTCAATCTGTTCCGAAGTGGTTCAACTTTAAGGGGTGTAGTATCGGTTTAAAGCAGCCCCTCACCTGTTCCACCTGCTCTCATGCCAAGAAAAGTTGAATAAATTCTTTGTTTTCTAACAGACTCCTCTAGGATTTTTCAAAAGGGCTTATGAAAGGGAGGGTGCATATTTTTGCATTTTTTTTTTAGATCAGAAGACTACAGCTTATTTAGTCCAGAACAAATTAGGACCTCAACAAAAATGAATTCATAAACCCCCAAAAGTTTGCTCATACTTCCTGCCATCGTTATTGGACATTTAGTGATTGCACATAGTTGTAGTCTGTAATGAATTCCCTTTCCTTTCAGTGGTTTAGGATTATGGTTTTGGGTGGCTTTCCTAGCCGTCTCATGATTAGCTGAGTGAGCTTGTTTTATTCATACCAGTCACCCAACACTAAATCTCTCTGTGGAAATTTATACTGACAAAAAGCTCCTCCTAGAAGCTGCAAGATACTTTACTTTGGATACTTTGTTTTGCTTTTCCTTATTTCTTTACTTTTTTCAAATGGGTTATTTATTTCTAGCATTTTGTTTCCCTGTCCACATAGCAATGCGTTAAGCTAGCTTGGTTATCAACAAGGAGGACATCAGGTATTGGAGACTATCTCCATGGAAACACTTTGCTCTTTCTAGCAACTCTTGATAGCTTGGCTATAGATTAAACTTTCCTCTCCGGTGTGTTGAAGAACATATTAATATTATTCAAAGTATCCTCATCTGTTCTGAAGTCAGACTTGCGTCTTATGTAGAATTATATTTTCACAAACCCAAAAGAAGCTTAAATTAGTTTGATCTTTTTAACATAAATGTTGCTGATATGTTTGACTTCAACTGGCACATTATTTTTAACCCCCCTCCCTCTGGATCAGCCTACTTTCTGATGGCTGCTGCATAAAGACGTCCATAGAGAAACGATTGTCACATTTAAGGAAACACTCGATCGCCTCCATCTTTGGGCGGATGACAGTTGTTGATTTTCCGGCATTTCAAGCCACACATTGTTAAGCAAACAGACCAAAGATCCTGGAAGGGGTTGTCGCATTTTTTTTTTTTTTTTATTTGCTCAGCAAACTATATGCCTGTACTCAAACCATAAAATATTCCTCCCTCTCGGCCGTATGCAATAGTAAGTCAAATATTCCACAAGTTTGTGTAGTTAGCTCATTCTGATGTGTTTGTGTAAGAGAGGTGTTCAACTGTGCTGAGTGTTGAGCAGCTGTCATAGCAACCGTGCAATTTGAAACTAGCAGGGCTTTTGTCCTTGGGTGACAGCTCTCTAAAATCAGATTGGTAACGGTCGTGCAGCACTTTCTGTGAGGCTGAAGCAGCCCCTGTGAGTCTTATACAGAAAGTTGAAAATTGGCAGAACAGAGAGGAGCAATTGGTTTCAGATGGCGTAGATGTGCATGTGTCAGAACAGGGATGGTGACTGTCAGCTTGATGCAGAGCGCTATGGCTGCCAGGAGTTACTTGGCAAAGCAAACAGAGACAGCGAATAGAGTTACCTTTTAATGGTCAAATCCGCTGCCTGTACAGTGAAGAAAAATACTTGCTTATAGGCGAATCTGTAAAGAGTTCCTGGACTCCATAAAACAGCAGAAATGTTGCTGTTTTTGATTATTTTATTTTTCAAAAATGAACAGATTTTGCTTTCAATTCAATTCACCTCGAAGTCAAACAATTTTAAAGTGTTTGTCAGGTTAGGTTTTCTGTAATACCAGGATCTGCTCTGTTTAAAGTTTCATTTTAGCAGAGGTAAATATGGGATTACAGAATGTAAATGGGAGTTACCCATAAGCATAAAAAACAAATGATTAAAAACACATGGATGACACTGCTTCCAGTTTTAAAAAGCACAAAAATCCACCATTTTGGGAGATGTGTCCAAATATTTTCATCATCCATTTTTTTAAGCCTTGAACTGTAAATGTAGATTTTTTTTTTTATAATTCTATATCTCTAGTTTTCTCTTCTTTTTTTTCATTAAGTTAAAATTGAGCAACCTTGATTAAAAAGTTATAGTATTATAAGATGCAGATTTCTCTAATACCACCTGAAATAACAGAGCTTTCACTCTCTTCCTTGCTGCATCTTAGATTTCTCTAAATAAAGCAAAAAAGTTCATCCTTATGACAGAGGTATCTATAAATAACACCCAACTCAAAATAAATCAAATGATACCCTGTACAGTCCTTTATAAAACTGATTACAGCTTTTACTTTTCTACTTTGCACTCCTGAAAATAAGCATCTTATTCCAAGATATTCAATGTATTTTAACAAAATTACTTCAAAATAGTATTTGTAAGGGACTCTTTATCCCCTGGTGGCATATTTCAACCTTTTAAAATGTTTTGGGGCGATTCATGTAATTTTTTGTTTTCCAGATGGCTGCATTATGTTCCTCTTAGTTGAATAAGGTTGTCTTCACTTCAGTGGTTCTGATATTATTGCTGGTTTAGCAACGGTCTCAGAGGAAAAACAGTTTCTCAACAAAAATATACCTTTTAATCCTTTTGCATCCTTTGTATGACAACAATGTAATAAAAAAAGCATTTGAATGTGCTGCTATTTGTTAGTCACAACAGGAGGGCAATTTATTCCCATAAAAGATGTTATTTTTTATTTATTTATTCATAAAACAAAGCAGAATTCACTAACTGTCTCCATTACCTATGCTAAAGAAACATCGGGGTTGAGACCCTATCATTGAAGACCTCTGCTCTAGGGTGAATAAACTTTTGCATTAATATTCTTTAAATATTACCAACATTTATTAATCAGGCTGTTCTATGATGGTTAGCATTCAGACGATTAAACAGCAGCCTTCCTGTTATCTGCTGAGGTCTAACTTTGTTGAATCAGGAGCACCTGAAATCTTTCTATGGGAAAAATACAGATTCTTTTCATGAAACTCTCAAACAGTTTTAAACACTCTGCTGACAATGGAAAGCTGCGTGGGTGTTCTTTATTTAATAACCGCATTCGTATAAATGAGTGCTGTCTGTCCATGCAGGGCTTAAAGTGATGTTTTTAATGCTTTTCACCATTTAGTTGAACAAAATACTGTAATTCTGGTCACTAGGCTGTTTCTAGGTGGGTCTGTTGTCGCAAAACAAGATGAGTTGAACAGCAGCTTAAATGTTCAACCAAATACACGTCCTGCAGATGTAAAAAAAAATAGTTTCAGTTTGATTTGTTTATTCTGGAATATTTTACCCTGATATTTCCTACCCAATGGGCATGTTGTGCTGCCCTGTCCTCAGGAGAAAATCAGTTATGATCCACAGTTGCAGCTGTTGCTGTCAATCAAATTAAATGTTATGCTTTTGTTTGTTTTTTTAACCAATGTTTGTCATTTATTATTTTTATGAGTTTTATTTTATTTTCATAAATTTTCATTTAGGAGACTGTGATAAAATAATAAACATAAAATCAAACTGATCATTTAAAATAAAATCCACCCTGAAATGTTATAAAATCAAAAGACGAGCTGCGATATTCTTCATCACAAGTCTTCATCTGGCGTCACTCCTGTCTGTTTATATCACAGCAAATTTAGTTGTTTCTTGCCTCATTGTTTGAAATATGAGTTTTCATTTTTTTTTTTTTTTTGTCTCTTTCTGTTCTTCTTTTTTAAATTGTTATTGTGTTTGTCCACCCCACCCCCCCGCCCCTCCATCTCTGTGCAGGCTGCAAAGCTGCAGTGGAGCTTAGATGAGAAGGTAGGGAGCTCCAGAGGCACCAGGGTGAGCACGTCATTTGAGCATTTGCATATGTGGTGTCGGTGTTTGTAGTGTTCACTGGATTTATTGGGAGAACCTCACTCGTACTATCAGTTGCTAGCAATCCATGTTCTTCCTTCCTTACTAGTATTAACAAACAGATCTTAACTGTATTTTATTATTAGATTCAAAGTCACTTGATGTGGGTTATTCTGAATCTGGCTCATTTGACCTTGCTTCTGTTTTGTGGAGTTTTGATGTGATCCTTTAATCTCTTGAAGGAAAGCTTTGGAAAACAGAACATAATAACGGAACTAAAAATCATGTTATTCCTTTTTTTTCCTTTTCTTCTGCCATCTTACCCTTTTCATCTGAGGCTGGAGCTTAATCCTTAAACTGATAATCATATCAGTTGCACTTGTTTCCTCTTAAACACCACTAAACACTCCCTCTTTGAGTTTGACCTCCTGTATTAATCCAACTTGTGTCATTGTTTAAAGAGAGGAAATGGCTCCCGCCTCCTTGGACCATTTCCTGTAGTTTCCTGTTACCAGAGTACTGTAGCAATAGGCTATATTGGGTTTTATCTTAAGGGTTTCTGTAGGGTATTTTCGGTCTTAAAATGGATCATCTAAATTGTAAGCCTTAAAAAATTTGGACAAAAGTATTTTCATACTTGATCTTATGTCATATTTAACTGTATTCTAAGATGGTTAGATGAATGAAATAAAAAAAAGTAGGTCTAGGTATGTTTTCAAACTTTGCAGGAGCCATCTTTGATGATCCTACATTTATAAAACTACCCAGCAGCTGGTAGTCAGTTAATCTGCTTGCATCAACAGATTAACATTTTTTTTTATATAGTGATGTGTTTTGTTCTGGGTTTCTTTCACCTTTTTTTTATCTGTCTTTAAAAAGAAATACAAGCATGAGAAATTGAGTTGGATTTAACAAAACAAACAGAAGAGATCCCGGGGCTCATTAGTGATTCTACCTTGGATTTAAAGCATTAATGAAGCCTGTTTTAGGAAAAAGAAAAGCGGATTTGTGTTTTTACTTCTGCACATATTACTGAAGTCACTGCTTGGGTAGGTTTCTAAGCTATAATAACAGCTCTGTTGTTAAACCATTAAAAAATAAAATTTTGAGTTTTAATTTGAAAATAAGGTTGTTGTTTTTTATTCTAGACTACATATTCAACAGCAGTATTCTATGTTCTGGTATTGTTGTTTTAAATTTTTATAATCTATTAACCAAATTTTTTGCCTTCTTATCCTAATAGTATTTACCCCATTCTAGTACAGGCTTCTAATGCAAATATCCAACTGTCTGATATTAAGCTGAAGCTTTGATATTATGTCTAAATGTTCATATCTCACCCCAGAAGCTCAAAATCTTTGTATTTTTGCTTTCTGTCTTTCTGTTCTGTTTATGATCTGTATAGGATCTCCAGCAGGTGATGGTATCAGGTCCCAACCTTAACGAGACCAGCATCGTTTCTGGAGGCTACGGAGGAACAGCAGAGGGAATCATTCCCACCGGCTCAGTCAAAGGTAACCAACCGCTTATGGGTTGGATTCTTCATCCAACTGGATTTCTGTGTTTTCTCAGATGTCGTAATGCAGATATGAGATCAAATTTGAGTAGTTAAAAGGTAATAGATATATGATCACATCTCTAACAGGATTAGGTTTTATAACTTAATTATTAAGCTATTTGTTTGAAAATATTGTTGTTAAAAAAGTACAGTATCAACCCTCTTCCTGGTGTTCACCAGCATTTGCAATCTAGCTAACAGCCTAGAAAGGCAGATAAGAAGAAAAACTTTACATGATCACCAGAGTAGGACTATGAGATATTAGAGGAGAAAGGTCATTGTGACCGTTGTCTGTGTTCTCATTGAGGGGTCAGATAGTTTGTTTTTGGGAGTTTTTAATTATATCAGATCTGTCTCTTTATTCATGACCCATATTTTTCTCTTGGAAAATAACGAAAAATTAATCTGGGACATTTTAAATAAAACATCATTTATTGTTATTCACCTCTCTTTCTCAGGCCCTGCTGTCCACTACAACCCTGACTTTAACAAAAGGATTCCTGTTACAGGATTTGGTGGCCAAGACTTATTATTTATTATTCTTAATTTTCAAGAGCTTCTTTCCAAAATATGAACCAACAAATATGGCATCTGGGGTTGGTAGAAGTTAAGAGCCAATTCCCAACGTTTTCAATAAAAATGATGACATTTAAGGTGTATTTGATTTTATTTTGGGTGCATATTTCAATTCACTATTTAATTCTAAACTGGTCATTTTGGAAACATGCTCCCTGTCCTGATGGTGTGACCTGTTTTAGATGGTTGGAAGTTTTTTATCACTTCTGTCTCAGTGGAGGGTGGGTCTAATAAAGTCTTACCTAGCTGCTTTCTTTTCTCTCTCATTGGCTTCTTTTCTGTTTCAAATGCAGAGATTTCTGAAAGTGAATTTCACAGTATAATTTGAAGGAAAAATAAAACTAATGCACAAGTTTCGATCTTTGTGCTTTAAAGGGTGAAGTTTAAATAAACATTCTCAATATGTATGTAATTACACTAACTGTTTCTGGGCTAACTGGTGCAGTTAAAAGTTTCAGCATTCTTCCAGTGGTAGTATAACAGAAAGGAATGCGTTTGCTAAATGGGACCTTGAGGGATTTTTTGTCTCCTCCCTTTTGACCTTTTAAAAGTTTTGTTCAACTTAGGAACAAGAACTTTAGCACGGAGTTTTATGGCTGCTGCAATTCAAATGATCTATTTACTCATATCTGCATTGTTTACTGACTCTTGTGTATTCAGTTTTCGCCTTTTCTTGTGCCTGCTTGTCCTTCTCTTTTTTTTTTCAATGCCTTCTGCATGTGCAGTTGATTTCATCCTCATACAATGCCATATTACTTTCTTTAAGTGCCTCGCAAAAGTGTTCATGCCTCTTCACCTTTTCCCATTTTCTCATGTACTCATATAGCTGTGGTTTTTCAGTGAATCCATATATTGATATCAAACTTTTCTCCCATACAAATCTGAATAGTGTGGCTTGGATTTGTATGTCAACACCAGGCTTTTAGCTATAGCTATAAATCCTTTGCAGAACCATGTTCTGGATATTCTTACATATTACACAGCAGCCACTGCCTGCTTTTCTCTGCCTAATGAATGAAGGCCCCCCAGCATGGTGGTGCCGCCACCGTTCATCACCATGAAGATTGGTTGTCCAGAGCCTTGTGCTGGTTTAATTTTAGGCATACTAGCATTTTAGATGCTAGTTAAGAGGTTTACCCTGTACATTTGTTCCGTTGAAAACTTTTGTAAGGCACTTATCAGTCAGTGAAACTATAATATTAAGCTTTATCACATTTAATTGGTTCCTAATCTTTATGATAATGATTCTTTTAATCTCACATCCTTGATGTCTGCTTACACATGATGCTGACCTTATCCCAACCTGCCCTTGTGAACCTTTTTTAACTGGTTCAGATCTGTATGTAAAGGCCAGGCAGAGCAAATTATCTCATCTGCCACATGGTATCAATCACAAGACCATAAATACTGGAGAAAAGGGAAAATCAACATGGTTTTGGTTTTATTGATCTAGACAACTAAAACTTGAATATCTTGCATAATTGTTCTTTGCATTTAAATAGTAATGTCATGACACAGTTTCCTATGCTCCTAATTGACCATTTATGGCCAATTAAGGGTTGGTTGGGTACCTTCTGTCTTTTTTTACATGGTGAATGCTTTGATGAGTCAGAGATACGTGCTTCGGCTTGATCTTTTGGTCATGTTCTGCATCTACTTGTATGTTTTAGGTCCCAACATGAATCACAGCACGAGCAGCTCTTCAATGACGGCAGAAGAGGCAACACGCGGTGTGGCTGTCGAAAAATATGAAGCAGTGAAAAAATGGGGTTTAAACACTTACAAGGTATCTTATAGGAACTGTGATTTTGTGCTGATGGTGTACTTTATCAGGCCTGCTCTGTTTTTTTTTTTTCATTTTATTTTGATTTCTATTTTTTAGCTGTTTCTCAAACAGACTGCCCCCCATCTGCCATTATAAGCACAGCAAAAAATAGAAATCTTAATAAGTCAGTTTTATTAAATGCATTTTTTTTTGTGAGATAAGGACTTAAGTTAAACACTTTGCCAATGGAACAAGACAATTTACATTTAAAATAAGAAAAAAACTATTGCATTGTCTTATTTCAAGTGCATGTTATCTAATTATCTTTTTTTAAAAGTAACAAGTACTCCATTGGCAAATCATTTTATTTACCTACTCAAATTAAGGGAAAATGCACTTAATTTAAGAAGTTTTTACTTATTACTAGATCGATTTTGCAGAAAGGAACAGAGTTTTTTCTTGATGTGTCTCTTTGTGGCTTCTTTTTGTTTTAGTGTACAAAGCAAATGATTTCTGAGCGTTTTGGTCGAGGCTCTCGAACTGTGGATCTGGAGCTGGAGGCGCAGATAGACGTGCTGAGGGACACGAAAAGGAAATATGAAAATGTGCTGCGACTGGCTAAAGCACTGACCAATCATTTTTACAACATGGTGCAGACGCAGCACGCGCTGGGGGACACTTTCGCCGACCTCAGTCAGAAATCTCCAGAGCTACGGGTGAGACCTCAAAAATGTCGGTCCCAAGTGTTGAGTGAATGTTTTTACGTTAAAATGGTGACATTTCGATAAAAAAATGAGAAACTGTCCTGTTTTACAGGATGAGTTTGGCTACAATGCAGAGACCCAGAAGCTGCTGTGCAAGAATGGGGAGACTTTACTTGGTGCCATTAACTTCTTTGTGTCCAGCATTAACACGTTAGTCAACAAGACAATGGAGGACACTCTGATGACGATCAGGATGTATGAAAACGCCAGGTAAGGTCTTAAAACTAAATGTTTTTGATGGATCTAAAATATAATAAGAGGTTATTTTTGAATGGTTTTCAGTTAAAAATGGTTTCTTTCACAATTTCAAACTGGTTCTTATATCTATTGTGTGTTTTTCTTTGATTCTTTTTATACGTAATAAACCTTAACAATACAGTCCCTCTGATGCTGTTTAATGGTTGTATTTAAACCCAAAACAAACACTAGTTAAACTGCTGCTAAAATATGCTGCCTGGCTGACATTAGAGACTATTTTTATATAATTTTGTACTGCTATTTATAACAATGTATGTGTTTTTGTTTTTCTTAAAATATGGATAAAATGATACTGAAAGGTAAAATGTACATATTTATCTATGGTTAGTACTTGTTCATCATATTATGTCTAAGTTTTAGAAATTGCAGTATTAATTTTAAAACTAAAGATGAGCACGACAGCTATATGCTGCCACCTAGTGGAAAGTCATTGAACATGCTACTTCCCCAGTACAGAAACTGTTATTGTTTGTCAGTATTTTCAGTTTCCTTCTGTTTGCACACAGACTGGAGTTTGATGCGTACCGGTCAGACCTTGAGGAGCTGAGTTTGGGTCCGAGGGATGCAGTGACCATGGCACGTATGGAGGCAGCCCAAGAGCAGTTCGAGGTTCATAAAGAAAAGTATGAACGCCTTCGTTCAGATGTTACCATTAAGCTCAAGTTTCTGGAGGAAAACAAGGTTAGTTTGTGATGCAGGTTAAAAAGATTTATATTTTCTGCTAACTGGATAATTATACACTTTGTTTGGTGCTTTCTGCAAACCAAATTTGTTTTTTTTTTCTCCATCAGGTGAAAGTAATGCATAAGCAGCTTCTTCTCTTCCATAATGCCATCTCGGCGTACTTTGCTGGCAATCAGCAGCAGCTGGAGGAAACGCTGAAGCAGTTTAGCATAAAGCTGAAGCCCCCCGGGGCTGACAAACCCTCTTGGTTAGAAGAGCAGTGAGAGGCCCTGCACCCGCTCTCTGAACCACCTCCACCTTTAACCTTTTAAAACCCCCTAACTTGCAGAGGACCACTACTGAAGGAAAGCAAACTCATTAAAATTAGACGAATGAAGATATGAAGAGGTTTTATTATTATTATTTTTTTTTTTTGGACGGATGATTTATTCATGAACTTAATGCTGCAGAGAGTGACGTGGTCAGTTTCATTAAAAACTGAGGGTGTTTCTGTGCCTCTCTTCCCTTTATCCACTCTAACTTCTTGTGCTCCTCTTCTTGAGAAACTGCCCCCCCCCCTTCTAACCCACAATACTCAATACAACAACATTTCCTATCTGGGCACCTATTTTACAGTGTGTGCTTGTGTTAGTCGTGTTTATGGTCACCATCGACTCCTAACTACTCCCAGGGCTTGGAGTCAATCCATGGTGTTTGTAACTGAGGCTGCTGTAGAGAAGAAAATGGCTAAAGTGATTCAACACAGCTGTATGACACTACTTTTAACCTTTTAACCCTCATCACTCTCCCGCTGTGCCTCCGTATTTATAAGCAACAGGTAATCCTCAGTAAATTAGAATACCAACCAAAAGCTGATTATTTTAATTCAAAAAGTAAGTTCTTATAGATTGACCACACACGGATACATTCCTAGGAGTTATTTATTTTGATGATTATGTCCAGGTTCTAAAACCCCATAAATCAATGAATAATAAATAAAAAAAAGTCTAATAATGAACTTTTTTGTTTTGTTTTTGTATTTTTTTTCCACCTTGCACAATATGATTTTAATAAAAACAATGTTGTGTCTGTTTCACAGCTTAATTATCAAATTACCACAAATAAAACTTAGATCCTCTAAATCTGTGTGCTAAAAATGTATATGGGCTGAGTTTGACGTTTTGAATTTAATAACCGATCTTTTCGATGATGTTCCAACTTACTGAGATAAACCTGCATTGCTTTATATAGAATATAATATTCAGGAACACAAATTGTTTCAACACAAACTGAAAACAAGTGTCTTGAGATTACACTTCAGTGTAAATTTCAAATTGTTATTTCATTTAAAATATTAAAAATTAATTACCATCTTTTTTTTTTTCTCCACCAAAAACTTTAACTCTTTAACAGGAAAATTGTTCAACTGTGATTCAGATATGCAGCAATTCTTGAAGGAGCACTGCCACAGCTTTAGAAAGCGCTCGTCTCGTGTTTTAGTTACCCAAGGGGAACAGAGTGAGATGCAATTGGATGCTGACCTTTTTTGCCTTGTTTACATAGGTATTTTCTTCTTTTCTTTTTTTTTTACTGATGGTTTCTACTGTGGAATATTCCCATGTTTTTATCATTAGATCAAGACAAAGTTTGCCTAGAATCACCTGCTATTGAATACTCTTGTATGAGAAACGATAGCTTTTTATGTTTAGATATATTGATACTTTGAATGTCTGTCTTTATGTGGATGTAACAACTGTGTGGTGTGACATCAGCAGTCGCATCCAGTGTCACTAATTTTAGCGTTTTAAGTATCATATCTTGCTGTTTAGAAGTCTAGAAGTATAGTTACACTAAAGGCTTTGGAAAAAACAATCACTGATGAAGAGTTACCAGATTGAGCATATGTAATGTGACATTTTAACATATCACTATTTATTTTATTCAAGTGTTGAAATCATTATTTTATATTCTAAAAAATTATTCAATTTGTACATATGGCATTTTTAATGGAAAATTATTCAGATGAAATGACCAAATATATGATTAGACCATTTTAGGAAATGAAGTTTAATTTCCGTGTGAAATTATTTTTAGAAAAATTGAAATAGGCAGCATTCTTTGGTGATGAGGGCCTCATATCCATCAGAAAATGGGTCATCCCTTCTCCTACTTGTTCTATATTTGCATGGCAGGTAGCAATCCAGACCTGTAGATATGTATGCTTTCACTAATGTGTGTCATTTAATACAGACAAGGGATGATATAATTTGCTACGCTAAACTTTCAGAAGCAAAAGCTGGCACACCCAGGGAGAAAAGAAAATGAGTAGAAAGTTTATTACAAAAATAAAAACAGGACTTTTTATATAATGGTTTACTGTCTAGATCTGACTAACATGAAGCAATATTAAAATAATGTGATCCCTTTTTCTCCCAAACTGCTTTGTTTTGGATTCCTTACCAGACATGAAAAAAAGGAATGGCAATACGTTTAATTTATATGTTGTTCCATATCTTTGAAAATGGTTGTGTTGTATGAATTGTTAAAAAAAAAAAAAAAAAGAATCAGGTATTTTCTGATGATAAATGAAGTTGTCATGGATACTCTGCCTTGATCCCTCACTTGCATTTCAAAAGTCCAACTTCGCCATACATGAGCAAAATTAAATCTTCACATTTCCAACTTGTTGGTCTGTATTCATTTACTTTTATCATAATAATCTTATACTTTGGGGTATGTGGAGTAAAGAAACAACCCAGATTTGGTCAAATAAGCATCTAGGAAGTAACTCAACATTTTGGTATCTGTTGATTAGATGTTTGATAATCGTACCTTCTACAGTGAGTATGACACCAAGTCACACCTAGATGGCTGTTATACAAAGTGATTGTGAAAAATGAAAAACATGTTGGGTGTTTGGCCTTTTTACCTTCATATATACTGTACCTCTGGGTTACAGTAATGCAGTAGGACTACCAGATTAATCTTCAATTTAACACCAACAGCTGGACGATTGATCACAAGCTTCAGTCTGGACACATCTCAATAAGGCTAAATACCTCAAACTGGTTTTAATTTAAGTCAGGCTTGAAAGAAGGGTTTCAACCCTATACAAAAGCTAGGACCTGTAGTTAAAAACTGCCAGGAAGGCAATATTTAATAAAGTTGTATCAAATCTACCAAGGAATGGTCAAACATTGACATCAAACTAAATTTGTCTGGCTGAGACTGAGGTTTCAAGGCTGCATGGTGGAAAAGATATTGTCGCCTTGCAGCAAGAAGTTCCTGGGATGTTACTACAGGTTCTCGTCCCATAGTCTAAAAAACTTGAATGAATAACTGGACAAAGAAAGAAAAATAAGAAATAAATGAACAATCGGTTCAAAAAGTAGCAGGACATATCCACTTATTTACTGTTGTCCCCTTGTCACACTGAGTTTACTAGAATATGCATTCCCCTGTACATAATACTTTTTATCTACAATGTGCATCAATATACAATATATACAGTTACCGTGTACTTAATTTACTTCATTATATTTAATTACATTTACTGATAAGCAATTGTTATAGAAATGTTAAAACTACAAATAAATTACAACAATGAACTAAATTAATATATTTATAGGCCTACTTACACTCATAAACAAAAATATAACTACTAGAGGTATTAAAAATGTAATTAAATACATTCTAATGTAACCTGCCTCTTCTTCTTGAAACCCATTTAAAATATTAATTATTTGTGTTGTTCAATTCAATTATATCATTATTTATTGGTTTGAATTTGATATCTAATTTGTTCCATAATGTTGCTCCACAACCAGAGGTAGATAGTAAACTAGTTACCTTTACTCAGTTAAATTTACTTGAGGAACTTTTGGAAGAAGAAGAAGAAAAAAAAAGTACTTTTAGGTTAGTTTTACAGCATTTTAGTCTACTTTTTACTTTTAGTTAAGTAAAGTTTGTGGTTACTCCATCCATTGTTAGTAACTTAACTTGTTTTAAAATTATGCACCAAGAGACAGACTTTCTTATTTTTAGTTCTCAAGGCTTATTAGCTAAATTATATTTTTCCATCTGCTGAGTTTTCCGTGATAATACGGTAAACTGTATATTGTAATTTATTCTATTCTACATACTAGGCCTATTGATGTCATTTTTATTACTCAAAAATCTTACATTTATCGTTCTGATCATGGGTTGTAAATAGATCACTCTGCTCAAGTAGCCTTCATACTTTTTTACTCTCAACTAATATATTTAAAGCCTACTTTTAAATTTGACTTGAGTTGCAATATAGTTTTAAGTTAAATGGGTATAAAGTGTTTTGTAGTTGCTTTCACGTCTCAAACCCCTTTTTTTGTCAATAAAGGATTTCTGCAGATTGCCTGGGAATGGTTTATTGCTCACAATGAACATTATTGTTGCAGTTTCATAGCTGATTAAATCAATGAGTTTCATGGCACGTGTGTCAGCTGATTTTTCTTTTACATAGTTTTACATAAAGCATAGATTATATATATATTTATATTTATATATATATATGTGTGTGTGTATATAGTTTATGCAAGGTTTTGAAAAAAATCCTGTGACCCAACAACACATCTGATTTTTATTTTATTATGTACGTTTAATTGTGTTCAGATTAAAAAGAGTTTGCATCAAACGAGACTTCTAGTTCACCAATTTCAGAGTCAGTGACCTCTAAGTTCTGGTATATAATGCCCCCTGAAGAAATGATGCTGTTTTAATCAGCAGCTAAGGTTCATTTTAACTCTACTGAACTATAGATATATAATTTATACATAGCGTGAACAAGACAAGGCCCAACACTGATTCCTGAGGGACACCACAGTTGATATTTGAAAAGTTGAATGTTTGTTCTTTAATTTAAGCAAATTGCTGCCTGTTTCTTATATAGGTCTTGACCCAAATTCCCCTAATACCATACTTTCTATAAAAAAAAAAATAATAATAATTATTGTCAATTACATTTTGTAAATTTGCAAACAAACCTAATACGTATTTCTTTTTATCTGTACTGTTCTGATTTTCACAGTTTACTCCATGAATGCCCTTGCTATTAATCTATTTCCCCTAAAACCGTGCCCAGAGTGATTGACTGTCGCTTTTTCTATACTAACACCTCCTCTTTCCCGGTGGTTCCGGTATGCTGCGCCGGCTACAGAAAAAGGAGCGGACCCACTGTGTCTCATCATAAGGCCGGGCCTCCACCTGGGTGACTTGAATTTGATTAGCGTATAATCTCACTGCACCTGCGGCTCTTGTTCCTGAAACAGAGCGATGATATTCAACAAGAAAACGACGCCGGAGCGCAAACAGTTATTTGACAGCTAACCAAGCTTTTTAAAAGCGCCTGTAAGTACATCTCTTTGAAAACCAACATAAATATATGCATTATTTTGATTATTTTCCACTGTATAAATAATGGGAAAAGGCAGTTTGGCGAGATTACAGCTAGAAAGCACATATTTGCGCTGATTACAGGTCGCATATAACTTTATTTTTCTACATATTAATATTATTAGTTTTATTTCTGTAGATTTTTGCATTTTTATTTTATATACCCAATTATGATTAAAAAATGCAGGAAAAAAACTTTCTTGGTCAATTAGTTATTTTCTAACACATTATCATTTGCAAGGGATACTTGGGAGACTACATTTAAAAAAAAGTATTCAATATTTAACCTGAGTTCAGTTTATTTTATTCATGGCTTACATAATAAATGAAAGGTTATATAAAAAGATAAGCACTGGAAATAAAAGAACAGCTCTCTCTTTTTATGAATGTCTTTTATTTTTTTAGAGTTCAGCAATAGGTCATGATTATGTCATACCTTAAGTTGGATGAGTTCATAGTTATTTCAAATCTATTTAATTTGAATTTTTTTTCCATAAACACATTGCAAAATATTAACACATCTAGTTTTGATAGGTTTTATGTCAAAAATACAGCTTTTAAATAAAGAGATGTGCTGTATTTGTGTCTTCTCAGTTGTGATTGGTGAGTTGGAGCAAACATCTATTGGTCTTTGGATTTGAAAGGAAATGATGGAGGGGATGCTGATTTTAAAATCTGCTACCCCCAGTCGTTCCCCCCGTTATCCCCCCTCGCCATCTACAAGTGATGCTCAAGAAGACTCGCATCTCGGACGGTCTTCAGTGGCTCCTGGTGCAGAAGTTACAGCCGTGCCCCCAACACCACCACCGCCACCTCCCCCACCACCTCCTCCCCTGGCCTTTGGCTCTCGTAGCATCCAAAGGTGTTCAATGAAAAAGCTGAACTGGGACACAATACCCAACCATCATGTGCTGGGGAAGCTGAACGTGTGGACATCCCAACGGACCCAGAGGGATCTGGTGCTGGATATACGAACCATGGAGGAGCTGTTCAGTTCAGACAAAAGTGCATCACTTCGCTCCTCCAGAGTCCTGGGTTTAAGTAAGAGTGAGGGGATGAACTTGTGCGGACTGGAGTCTCAGGTAACTAATACATCCGTATGTAAAATAACATTTTCTATACTTGCTCTATTTTATTCTGTGATCTTGTCAAATAAACCACCAACTTAGGAGAAGTAATAAATATGCCAATAGGAAGTTATCTCATTTGAAGTTCCACATGAAACCTGTTACCACCGTGGAAGTGTTCAAGTTAAAAATGTAGCTTCCCCAAAAATATAGAATTTTCTGGAGAATTTTGTGGAGATATAAAGAGTCTTTTGTTTTGCTTTTTTATTTATAGGTCACAATATTGGATTCCAAACGGTGTATGAATGTTGGGATCTTCTTAAGACATTTCAAAAGGTAAAGCTGTATCTGTAGCTATATGTGGGTAAAATGCATGTGGTGTGGTACATGCTATGGAAAAGTACCTAAAGAAAGTAAATGAGTGAAACCAGCTGTCTGGTGAGAGTCGCTCAGACTTTTTGATATAGTTCTCGATGTACAGGTAACTTCCACTTTGCTAATCATTACCCAACATGGAGGCTTATCTCAGCTGAACTCATGCAAATAAATGGAAATCCCTTTTAAAGCGTCACTTTCTATCTCTTTGCAGAAGTATCTACAGTAAGAAGTTGTTATATACCTTACTGTATTTATGGTAGTAACTATGACTTTAAAACTGTCAGTTGTTTGCATTAAAGCTTCTGATCACTATTTACTCAGGTTCTTTTAATGTCCTCAATAATTTTATAAAATGCCATCTCCTCTGTTGCATTCAAGGCAGGGAGAAGTTGCTTTTCTTTTTGCCAGTTAGGTCCTGACATCTTGAATGTACATTTAAGGATCAGACATAAATGTACTTGGCAGCAATAGTTATTTTTTCTGCTTTCTTTGGGTTTTTTTTTTTTTTTTTTTGTGTGAGTAATGCATAATGTTAGTGAATGGATCTGCTTCATATACAATGGAGAAGATAACTGCTTGCCAAATGTGCCACCTTTAATAAAAGCTTCTTCCAAATAGTTACATTTTAGGCCTAGTTGTACAAATACATTGATAGTCCTATGGCAGAAAGCTTTACCTCCCATCTGTTTTTAATTTAACAGTGAGGAAAAGCTCAAAGTTGATAATAAATCTGGATAGGTTTTCAATACATAATCCTCATGACTTGATCAGTGTTTGGAATTTCAAAAACGTTTCAGACGACTTGAAATAAACATTTAGAATTTCATATTTTCATGCATTCCTACACAGTCTATCAA